AAGGTGGCCTGGCGCTGGCCAACATGGAGGAGGCACCGGCCGCGGGCGTCACCTGCGAACGGGACTGAGCCCCGACTGACGTGCCCAGGAGCGGTCTGAGCCCAGCCGGCCCCCCCCCGCTGTGCCCACGGCTCCGGGGCGCCGCCGGCCGCGGGCTCCTGGACTGGGACGCAGTGCAAGGAGGGAGCGCGACGGCCCCGAGTCTCCCTGAGCCATGGGCAACGAGGCGAGCTTGGAAGGGGAAGGGCTCCCCGAAGGGCTGGCGGGGGCGGCGGCGGCGGCGGCGGCGGCCGCCGGAGGAGAGGCTGGCGGGGCGGGGAGCCCCTTGCACACCGTGATCCCGGCCGGCATGGAGGCGGATCTGAGCCAGCTGAGCGAAGAGGAGAGGAGACAGATCGCCGCTGTCATGTCAAGGGCGCAGGGGCTACCCAAGGGAAGCGTTCCCCCGGCCGCTGCGGAGTCGCCTTCCATGCACAGGCACGCACAGCATGCTGTATATGTCCAGGCATATATGTACAGCTTCTCGTGCACATATGTGCCAGCCCGTATGTGCCAGCACGGCAGTACATATATGTCGCCTCGGTTCATTTTATTCTCCCTAATGAGGTGGCGATAAAGAGATTATAAACCTTTTGATGGTTGAAATAAAAATGATGCATTGTAGAGTTTCTGATGGGATAGTTGAGGGTTGCAATTTTGGGACTGTGATTTTAGGTTGTGATTTTTGGCCTTTCAGAACCCTTTCCCTCTAGGATGGCGTGGAGAGACGCCCTCCAGTGTTTTACTAATCTGGAAGTCTTCCATTAATACAACACGGACGTGTTGGGAAATGGATAGACTGGGTGTTTACCTGTCTCTGTGTGAACCTTCTCCTCGGGCATTCCGGGTTCTTTTTTTCCTCTGTGAATGATGCCTGAATATTTCAGTAACAATACCTTTTATCCCCTGGAGATGACTTGTCCTTCCTTCCCACCCCTACCCCAGAGGAGAGCAGAAACTGTTTAGGTAGCTGTCATAGGTGGAATATACCTTTTATACTCAGGAAGAGACCCTAAAATATGTTGTGGCATTAAGCAGATGGTTTGGTCACAGCAGAGCAGGTGTTATACATGTATTTCTGAATTAGCATATGCTGCTTTTTAAACCACTGCTCCTTTTTAAAAGTGGCCTTCAGTTTATGGAAGAACATGTGAATTTGTATTAAATTAATTTTTAATACATACTTTCAAAAACAAAAATCAATGACAATTTACACAGGCTAATCTGTAATTTTAACGTATTCATTTCCTTCTCTAACTCCCCATTTCCTTCACCCCAATAAATTAGTTGTTTTCTAATTAGAGTACTAAGAGGGTATAATCATTATGCCTGCCCTGCCTTTATGATTGTAAACAAACCCTTTAACTTTCACTCTCCAGTAGAGAACATTTATTTTTCTGTCCATGGTCCTGAAACCATTCCTGTTTTATGATAACTATAGGGAAACCTAGTTTTCAGTTTTCATTGAAATAGTGGAAATACAAAAGACCTGGGTACGTAGTTGTAGGTGTTTATCCTTTACTTTATGAAATAAAAAAATTTATCTAGACATGATCACAGATATCTCTATGCAGGTAATTTGTCAAATAATTATGATATTGATAATAAATGTAATATAGAAGTGTAAAAATATAGGAGAAATGTAAAATGTTTTTAGCTAGTGAAAATATTTTAATATAAAATCTCTAAAGCATTTGTTTTAAATACCTAAATTTTATGAGGTAAAAACTCTATTTGTCATGAAAGGAAGCCACCACTACTAGTGAAAACTGGCCCCTTTATATTAAATACAATTTTCTGTGCTTTTAATCTGGAGAAATATTGGGACATTTCTTTGCTATTAATGCCTTGTTTGTCCATTACCTTAAATTATACAGTTTATGATAAGTAATATTTTTCTTTTCTTGATGAAACTTGGAAAAAATTTAAGTTTCAGTCACTAAATTTCCATAGGATAACAAGTATAATAATTTAATTAGTTTTTTTTTCTTCTGTAAGATTTACTAAGAGGCAAAAGCAACAGGTTTTGCATGCTGGTTACGAATACAACGAAGAGTGTGCTCTCTGATTTTTAGATTCCTAACTTTTCTTCTGTTGAAAAAGTGGCCAAAAAATATTTTATCCCATAAAACCTGCTTTATGCAGTATGTGTATCAGATACATACATTAACAACTCTCTATTCTCTCTATTGATCATTTTATTATGGCAGAATTCATTAATAGGAATTCCGTGTCCAGAATAGTCATTGCTGAAGCTTTAATTCAAATATGCAAGGATAAACAGGAGGTTTCTAAATTTTGCAACATGCTTGTATGTTACAGAAAGGTTTCTATGAAGGGTATATGACTTTTTGAAAGTTATTATCTCCATGTATGATAACCAAAGAAACACTTGGTTTTTCATTAGATTGTTATAGTCATGTTAATTTAATTATGCGTAAGAAAATAAATCTAACTTATCTGAAGTTTTAAGCTTGTACATATTGAGAATTAAACAGGGTAGGATCTGTGTTTGTTTGTTTTGAGAAATAAGGATTAAGAGCCCAAAGACCTAGCTCCTTGTTATCCTACCAATTTTCACTAAGACACAGCAAATTACATACACCCCTCAACCAATGGGTGCTTCAGGTTCCTGGCGTATGGATAAGGCTGTCTTAAGAAGTCATTGTGAGGAATAATTAAAAATGGACAGGGACATTTTTGTTTGACTTTTAACTTAAAGAAATCTTACAAAGTGTGGTAATATGAGTAGCAACAGCGATGACACTGTCGGTGATGGCTAATGGCAAGCAGAATATTAAATTATACATTGTTAGGAGTTATTTTGATTTATTTATGTTCTTTACATGTGGAGAAATGGAGTGGAAATTACTCTGTACCCTCTTCCTTTCAACTAGTAGTCAGGATACCAGATTTTTGTGACTAACTTATTTTATGACCTTGAACTAGTCTGTTAGCTTCTCTAAGTCCCAGTGTCCATTACTGCATAAACATGAATTGATATTCCTAGGATTGTTAATATTTCTAATATTGCAAAATTTTATGTGACTCAGCACGGTCAAGGGTCATTGCTTATTGTGTTCAATTTTTTTTAAAAAAATTATCATTCAAACTATTTTTATATTCCTACGTTTGCATATGTATTTATTTAGTTTTAGCTGATTTTTTCTGCTAATATTTTTAAAAAATCTAATTTGGTGATGATCATAGTGAAGCGAAAATAGAGGTAGTATTAAACAGTCATAAGCTAGAAGTAAAAGGCAGGTTACAAATGAAATGTTTCTGGATTTTTGATTCACTGTAGACGCACAGTCGTGCAGTTTTATTACTTCTTTTATCTATTCATTTTGCAATTGAGATATGTCATAGAAGGATTTTTTGCTGAAAAAATTTTCTGATGAATAGAATGTTTTAAAAGTATTCTGACTGAATCCATATTCTTTCTTTTAATACACCTTTGAGTTTTTAAGCCAGAAAGTCTGGGTGTACACCCCACAAGTATTTTTCTACTTAGAGCAGGAGGCCAAGGTTCTAAAGTGTATATGGAATATATCCATTTATATCTCCGAAGGCCTGCAGAAGAATTTGGAATGAAAGAATTCAAGCAACGTTAAGCTGGAGTAAAACAAACCTGATATGTTCATTCATTGGTTTGCGCATTGTTAATCATCCATTTATTCATCAGCTCATCAAACATTAATGCTCATCCTCAACTAGTTGCCAGGCTTGCAGAGATGAGTGAAATACATCATCTCTGGGAGTTCACAGTCTACCCTACAAGGCACAGATTGCATTTTAATCACTTTTCTTTTTAACAGAGCAACTGTTAAACCAAACAAAAATTCACTAAAAGACAACAGTTAGCTAAGGCACCATTCATTCTTTACATTTTGATTTGGCATTGAGCTGATACTTCTCTGAATGATTTTCTTTCTGCCTTCTGCTCCTGGATCTCTCTACTTTATTTTTATTTACGTAATTATAGAAATTAAAACTAACTTTAAACTGTTGTACAGTCTTTAAGGCTGTATACATATTTTCTGACATGAGGGTTCTTTAATATAGTACAACTTACGGGACCAGTAGTTGGCGTAATGGCTATGTCACTGGACTCCCATGTAGTTGACTGAGGTTTGAATCTTGTACTAGGTGGCTTAAACTTACACCAGGTGTGTGTGCCTGTGTGCCCAGGATCCTGAGAGGAGAGTGGAGGAGAAGGGATTGCGGATACACACATATGTATACACATATATATATAGTACAACTTGCAATGGTAGGACGTACATGCAGTTATAATTTCTGGTGCAAGCAACTTGCTTTCAATTTTAGTGTTTAATGTTAACAGAAATCTTAGTAATCATGAAATTTATTTTTTCTTGTTTTCACATATTTTGGATTATATGAAATAATGTCACAAAACAAAATACATTTAATAGTATTTTCAAGAATAAAAAATTTAGTAAATTTTTCAATATATTTTTTGCCTCCTGTTTAAATATAGATTTTTAGGACTAGAAAGAGAGTCAATTTAATTAAATGCTTATATAATTATGTGTAAGATAAAATGTCATAATGTAGTCCCTAAGCATGTACCCTTCAAGGGGTTGGAACATTTCCAGAATAATGTTAAGATATGAAGAATGTATTTCTTTGCGAACCAGCAGTTAGCGTAATGGCTATGTTGCTGGACTCCCACGTAGTCGCCCGCAGCTCGCATCCCGGATCTAGTGGCCTAAAACTCATGCCGGGAGCTTTGCGCAGTGGCAGTATGGTAGCCAATGAGGTTTATCCGAGGCGCGATTATTGCTAATTGAAAACTCACACGGGGAGCATGTGAGTGCATCCCTAAGATCCCGAGAGGAGAATGGAGGAGAAGGGATTGTGGCATGACCATCCCCCCTGCGGGGTGATTTCTCGCTTTCTGTCTCTATGTCTCTGTCTGTCTGTCGAGAGCATGTGCCCTATAGCAAAAACCTCTCAAAAAAAAAAAAAAGAAAAGAATGTACTTCTTTGAATATAATACATTTTTCTTGTTGTTTGGTATGACTTCATATGGAAGGGAACAAATAAAAATGTCTCGAAAGAAACATTTAAAATAATTTTCCCCGAATGGAAATATGCAGTAGTACATTTTAAAAGATATCTTGGCAGGGGGCTGTCAGATGGGGTGTGATCAAGGTGGTGGGCTCCCATATGGCTGACCATGGTTTGAGTCCTGGACATGGTGGCTTCCTTTCTCACTTTCCCTTTCCCTGGTCAAACTAAATAATAATGACAATAATAAACTAAAATTAAATAAACTAAAAATTTATAAAAGCAAAAATAAATTTAAAGGTATCTTGAAATTCTTTGAGCAAACTAGGGTAATAATCTTAGTTCCCTATTTGAGCTAAGGTTTTGTAAACATGACATACATTTTTTTTTTGGGGGGGGGGGCGGAGAGATTTTATCTGTAGGGCGCGTGCGCTCGCCAGACAGACAGAGAGAGACATAGAGACAGAAAGCGAGAAATCACCCCCCATGGGTAATGGTCATGCTGCAATCCCTTCTCCTCCATTCTCCTCTCGGGATCTTGGGCATGCACGCACACGTGCCCAGCGTGTTTTAAGCCACCGGGTCTGGACACGAACCGCGGTCGACTACGTGGGAATCCAGCGACATAGCCATTACGCTAACTGCTGGTTCCCAACATGACATACATTTTTTGTAACCCTTTTCCTGGAAGAAAGTTTGAGAACTTACAATTTTCTCTATCCTTCTTTTATCAGAAAATCACTTTATGCATACAATGCCACTTACAGATTATTTCCTTTCTTTCTAGTCTTTGCTACTTAGTAATACTTCTCTGCTCTTTCTACCATGCCTTAAATCTTATCTGTACTCAAATTTCTATCATTAATGAAGTTCTGAAAAACTTAAATTCATATTAAGTATAAAATTATATGGAGGTAACATTTTTAAAGTCTGCTGCATTACCAGGTAAATTTTGACAATTGAATTAGAACCTGTAGAACATTATTGTGTTCATCCCACATTTTAGGTGCTATTGAATGACTGTTCCTTTGGCCTTGTTTTAGAGAAACATCCCTTTTCTAAAATTAACAGGTTACATGTCCCAAACAAAATGCTTACAATAATCTGATTTTCTACATAATTCTAAAGATTAATTTTTTTAGTTGCAACTTTATCAGTAAAGAATGACTTATTTCAAAAGTTGATGTACTCAGTATGACTTTTTGCTAAAAACAGACAAGAAACTTCTATTTTAACTATGTAACCATAGTCCTTTAAAATTGATGTTTCCAAAGTATTTTTTATAAATACGCCTTGTATATAAAAATTTATAAAATTAATACTTTAATATCAATGCCAATTATAAATAGTTACTAATCATATATGAATGACAATAATAAAATAATATAGTAATATTGAGTTAAGAGATCATTATGTGTTTTCTTTATTGAAGGATAGTAGCAGTGTTGTTCAAGTGTGGGATCACAACCAACTTTTTACTATTTGAATACCAAGAGGGATTTCAAAATGCTTTAAGCTTCTATCATTAATTTGCATAGAAATTTCAAATTAAGAATTAACTATTAGTGGGATCAGCAGTTGGCATAATGGCAACGTCGCTGAACTCCCATGTAGTCAACCACAGTTCGAGTCCCGGACCCGGTGGCTTAAACTCACGCCAGGCACGTGTACGAAAAACAAACAAACAAAAGAATTAATTGTCAGCAAAAAAAGTAACACTAGTCTTCCATAAGAAAGATGAAGTTGTTTCTCAAGAACACCAAAGTAATTAAAACACAAATTTTCATTCCATAAAATTTTATAAGGATAATATTTGATGGATATTACCTTTCTAGATAGGGTAAAATTGAAAAGATGATTAATTTTCTCAATGTTTTGTAAAGGGAACATGTAAATTTCATTACCAGAAACCCCTCTAAAGGACTTTGTGTGACTTATAGAACTAATCTAAGTTTTCATGATCAAGGGAAATAGTTGTAGCAAATTCCTACGTTTAAAATGAATATTCATACTACTTAATGCTGCTAGTATTTTGGACAATAACTCTCTGATCATAGCTTTAGATAAAAAAAAAAAAAAACCACCTTGTGGACACATATGTATTGTGATGTGACATTGCATTGATTTATTGAAGTTATAATTTAAACCTATATTCAGTTAGGTTTTAAGTATAGCAGATTCCATAAAGTATAAATGTAAATTATTTCATTGTAAGTATTTCCTAAATATATATTTTAATTTTATACCACTTGTAACGGATTTTGGCATTGTTTTTCTTCTCCTTGTTGAGAATTTGTACCTATTTAAAGAAAGCAACAGAGGCAGTGAAAGTTTTATCATTCACAGAATGCTTTAAAAATGGGTTCTAAGGTTATACGTTTATAGTTTTGAAGATAGCAGAAAGCATACATTTTTAATATTATCTTTGTTTTCAAATAATTTCCATCATTTTCACTTACTTCTCTTTCAAACTTCCAGGAAACAAGAGTTGGATAGCAGCCATCCTCCAAAGCAACCAGGGAAACCACCAGACCCTGGGCGTCCAGCTCAGCCTGGTCTCAGTAAAAGTAGAACTACAGACACTTTGAGGTCAGAGCAGAAATTGCCTGGAAGGAGTCCTTCTACTATTAGCTTAAAAGAATCAAAGTCCAGAACTGAATTTAAGGAAGAGCACAAGACTAGTATGATGCCTGGATTCCTGTCTGATGTTAATCCTTTAAGTGCTGTCTCTTCTGTTGTAAATAAATTCAACCCTTTTGATTTGATATCAGACTCTGAGGCATCCCAGGATGAAACTATCAAGAAACAAAAAGTAGCTCAGAAGGAACAGGGAAAACCTGAAGGAATCACAAAACCACCATCACAACCACAGTCCCCCAAGCCAGTTCATAAGCATGAAGGACCTGTTAGGGAGCCACTTGAGCGGGGTGGTTCACCCAAATCAATATCTTCTCAGCAACCAGAAAAAATTAAATCACAACCTTCAGGTACAGGAAAGCCAATTCAGGGGCCTGCCCAGACTCCTCAGACAGACCAAACAAAGTTGCCACTTCAACGAGATCCATCCAGGCCTCAGACTAAGCAGTCTGACATAGTCAGAGGAGAACCAGTTAAACCCTCACCACAAAGCCCATCCAAATCATCTATTCAGCAGGCAAGTCCTGGAAAAACTCCAGCTCAGCAGCCTGGACCAGAAAAACCACAGACTGGGCCTTCAAAGGCCCCAGCTCAGCAACCAGGGCTAGCAAAGCCCCTAACTCAACAGCCAGGGACAGTGAAGGCCCCAGCCCAACTACCAGGGACAACGAAGCCTCCTGCTCAGCCTCTTGGGACTGCAAAGCCTTCAGCTCAGCAGGCTGGGTCAGATAAGCCTTCATCTCAGCAGCCTGGGCCAAAGTCTGTAGCTCAGCCTCCTGGGCTTGGGAAGACTTCAGCTCAGCAGCCCGGGCCTGGAAAGTCTGCAGCACAGCAGCTGGGATCACCAAAACCTCCAGCTCAACCTGAACCACTATCTACATCAAAGACACCTGGGACTACAAAGGCTCCAGCTCAGCAAGCTGGGCCCACAAAGTCTCTGGCTCAGCAGCCTGGACCAGGAAAGACTCCAGCTCAACAGCCAGGACCAGGAAAACCTCCTGCTCAGCAGTCTGGCCCAACAAAGATGTCTTCTCAACAATCTAGCCCAGCAAAGCCCCCTCTTCAGCAGCCTAGCCCAGCAAAGCCCTCAGCTCAGCAGGCTGCAAAACCAGTCAGCCAAATAGGAACCGGGAAACCTCTGCAGCCAGCAACATCTTCTCCATCTGCAGCACAGACTCCAGTACAAGGCCTCCCTAAAACCATCTGTCCTCTTTGCAATACCACTGAACTTCTGTTGCATGTTCCAGAAAAGGCCAATTTTAATACATGCACTGAGTGTCAAACCACCGTCTGTAGCCTCTGTGGTTTTAATCCCAATCCTCATTTAACTGAGGTGAGTGCATTTATTCAGCGAGTTCAGCTATATCATGATCTTTCACAAATGCTGCTTAGTTTACTACTCACAGGATGGTATTGTCTTTCTTTCATTCCCGATACTGAGCACTGCTCATTTCACTATGTATAAGGCCTCCGTTACTTATGATTTACCATATTTGATATTGCTTTATCTTTTAAACTAATGTTCTTATCACTAAAATCTCAAAACTCTTAACTAGGATTATATTTATATTAGGAAAAAGCAGACCATGTTTTTAAATTCTAAATACAATTTGAATATAAAATTTAATGTATTTTTCAGTTTGCACATCCCTTTCTCTGCCAGCTATTCTGAAATACCCAGTGAAAGCAAGATTCCCTCATTCTTTGAAAGTCATTAACAGCATAGATCAATTTACAAAATGAAGGCATCATTAGAGCATCTTAAGCATTGGTGGATTTCTTCTGGGAACATCATAGCTTCAATTTCCAAGGCTTAAATATGAAGACTGCCTAGCCTGTCGATTATTTTTCTTTTTCTTTTTTCTTTATTTTTTGGAGAGGTTTTTGCTATAGGGCATATGCGTTTGCCAGAAAGACAGAGAGAAACAGAAAGACAGAAAGCGATAAATAAGAGCATATCCTTTATTTGAATATTTTACACTGTATAAAAACCCTACTCGGGACCAGCAGGTGGTGTGATGGTTAGGTTGCTAGACTGTCACGTAGTCATTATGGTTCAAGTACCAGATGTGCTTGAAACTCACTCTGGGTGTGTGCACATGGATGCCCAAAATCCTGAGAGGAGAATGGAGGAGAAGGAACTATACAGCATGGCCATACAACCCAGGGGTGGGATGGCAGGGAGGGGATGGATTTCTCGCTTTCTGTCTCTCTGGTCAGCACACATGCCCTAGAGCAAAAATCTCCCTTTAAAAAAAAAAAAAGAGGGACCAGCAGTTCGTGTAATGGCTATGTTGCTGGACTCCCATGTAGTCAACTGCAGTACCTGGTGGCTTAAAACTCACACTGGGTGCGTGTGTGTGCGTGCCCAAGATCCCAAGAGGAGAAGGGATTGCGGCGTGGCCATCCCCCCTGGGGGGTGATTTCTCGCTTTCTGTCTCTATGTCTCTCTCTGTCTGGCGAGCGCACCCTATAGCAAGAAAACTCTCAAAAAAAAAAAGAAAAAAAGAAAGAAAAGCAATGGAGAAAATGGACAGCTTTGTCCTGTTCCAGTTTTTAGAAAGTGTCCAGTTTTTCCCATTCTATATGATGTTAGCTTTGGGTTTGCCATATAGGAATATTATTATGTTGAGAAATGTATATTCTATACCTATTTTGCTAAGTTTTCATCATGAAGAGATGCTGTATTTCATTAAATCATTTTTCTGCATCCAAAAAAAAAAAAAAGACAGAAAGCGAGAAATCCCTCCCCCAGGGAGGATGGGCAGGCCACAGTCACTTCTCCATTCTCCTCTCAGTATGTTTGGCATACGTGCACACACACGCCCGGCATGAGTTTAGGCACCAGGTCTGGGACTTGAACTGCGGCCGACTACATGGGAGTCAAGCAACATAGCCATTACGCTAACTGTTGGTCCCATTAGCCTACCATATCTTAAAGGAGCCCAAAATGACACAGATGTGTACAAGGTTGTTTACTCAGATTGAAGATAGAAAATAATTCTCAGCAAGTCAGTATCAGCTCAGCACTTAAAAGCCATGAAAATGGTAGAATTTTAATAGGTAGAAATTTGGAGAAATATTAAGGGGAAGGGCTAAACATAAAGACCATAAGACAGCAAAGAAACTAAGAAATTCTCTAAAGATAAGAAATTATACCATGAAAATGGAATAATAATATAAGTAAAATGAAAATAAATAAGTTTAGAGCTTAAGAGACTATAAGAAGAGGTTCATTTTTTAAAGAGATCTGATAGCCCTTACTTGATGAGAAGGCACATGTAGTCCATCCAGATGACAGCTGTTAGTGGGCTGACCATGAATTATGTCTGAGAAGCCCAGGAAGTAATTGACAACAGGCAGTGAAGGATTATGTAAATTAAATATCCCTGAGAGGTGAGGTTTGTGTATTCTTTTTTTTTTTTGAGAGATTTCGCTATCAGGTGCATTTGTTCACTGGAGAAACAGAGACAGAGTGATAAATCACCCCTCAGGGTGGATGGCCACACCACAGTCCCTTCTCCTCCATTCTCTTCTTGGGATTTTGGGCATGCACGCACATACACCCAGCTGATTTTCAAGCTGCCAGGTCTGGGACTCAAACTGTGGTTCGAGTGGGAATGGCCATGTGGGAATCTAGTGCCTTAACCACTCCTCCACCTTCTGGCCCTAGGGCCAGAGTTTTTATTATAAATAAAATGTATGTTATGATAACAGCAAAATTATGATTATTGGTAAATATTATGTTAATGTGGGCCCTTATGACAATGAAAAATGAAAAATGAGGAAGATTTACACTATCTCACCCTCTGGTGACTTCCTAAAGTATCTTCTACTCTTTAACCAAAAGTCATATAAAGTACTTTATTATTTTTAATAGCCATTCTTTATCGATAATATTGTAATTAATAGGAATGCCTTCTGAATATGAAGAAAATTAAACTATTAGAAGTAGTTTGTTAATACATGCATAGCTCTTAACATGTTGATGAAGATGTTTTCTGCCCATATTGTATTATCTTGATAGGCATGTAAAGTAATAATGACTTAACTTGATGGATAATTTTATAATATTTTTGGATTTATCATGTTTTGGTGACAATTTATAAGTCAGAAACATAATTTTGGAGACAACCACCACTTCTAAACTATAATGTATGTCAATGAAAAAAAATTTAATCTCCATGTTTTCCAAAGAAGGTGTAACATTCTGGGTCAAGTTGTCCTCGATAATTCATTTGCTTCAAATATTCAGGTACTTCTATTTACATGAATTTATTATTTTGCAGTTTGATGTTTATATGGAAGTAACGCTATAGTATTTCTTTGGTAGTTGATGGGTAAAATACTAGTGTCTTCTATCACTCTTTGAAAAGACTTAGGAGAATTTCTCTGAAATTTTTTGTTATCACCACATCAGAATTATGGCTATATTTTCTTGTGACTATCTTGACCTACATGACTACTAGGCCTAGGAAGGACAGACCAGAGAGGTTACTACACTGAGTGAGACACATTAAGGACATATTTACCTCCTTAATTATAAATTTATCACCTTCCCCCACCCAAAGACAAGCATCCTAGACTACCCAAGCTTCTATGTAGATAGGATGGCCTTTAAATTCACTGCTCATTCTGGAGGCTGTCGAGATGTCTGCTGTTCCAAATAAACCTTAAGGATCTACTGGCTGCAAGCCTAGACTTTGGACTCTAAGAGGACTTTCCAGCTGTATCTCATCTTGCCTGTCTGCTCCTGGAATTAATCTCTACAGTACAGGTCCTTCCTTTAGGCTTACTTTCTAACACAGAAATTGAACATTTGCTTTCTAATTACTGAGAAAAGCATTTTTATTGTTGTTTCTGTTGATTTGCTCTCTCTCTTTCGGTGCGTAGCCTCAGGCAACATAGATTAGATACAGAGATTTAAAGCCTTGTCCCTTTGATCATTCTCTTAAGTCTTATGAAAATATGTAGCATATAAAAATGACTTGTCACTTTTTAGAATATTGGTAATGAATCAACTGTTAGTAATGAAGATGAATTTAGATCAGGGTTTTTTGTTCATTGTCCCCCTCCCCCCCAGCTACATTGGCTCATACATTAATCAGCGTTTATTTATTCCCACCCCCCTACCCCACCCCAGCTCTAACCAGGTATTTTATTTAACAAAAATATGGCCACCTTTCAGGAGCTTAAAACAAAACAAAACAAACTCCTTAGGAGTCACATGGTGGTATAGTAGTAATACAACTAGACCCATGTGGATAAATCCTGAGTTCATGTCCTCTGACTTCCCTGAGCACACTGGGCATGTGCCTATGTGCTCGTCATCCTGGCCAGCTGAGACTAGGGGCAGATTGTGGCATAAGGTCTTGTTGGGGTATCTGTCTCTGTTTCTCTCTCTTGTAGAAGAAACAGACTTTAAAAAAAGTACATGTATATGTATATGTGTGTGTATATATACATATATGTGTGTGTTTATATATATATATATGCATATATATATCACTAGACTTGCAGATATAGACTTACATATAAACCTTCACTTATTATAAATGAAAGCAATAAACAGGAAGACTGAAATTCTTTAGTTGGATTAAATGACTTAACTGGCCACATCTTTTAGGTGTCTATTCTTCCTGCTTCTTCTCTTTCTAGTAAGAAGAGCTGGTAGAAAAAGGGTAGCATTACATTAAGCCAGTGTCAGGAGACTGGAATCTATAAAGAAAGAAAGTCAAAAGATGTTCTTTAATGGTGCAGAAACTCAAAGAACTTTTAGAAAAGAGGATATTCTTTTCCATTGCTTGCTGTTTTTAGCACAAAGATCTTTTGTAGCCTCAAATTCTAAGCAAAGACTGCTGCACAGTTCCTCTTAAAAAGGAGGAGGCCCACAAATGTTCATCTCCTCTCTCTAAAGTTCTCACTTTTTAAAAGATGGAAAGCATAGTAGTTCTAGGCAATATAAAGGAAGCTCAACCACATAGGTTGGTATGTTGAATTCCTAGAAGACAGAAAATAAATAAATAAATACAAACCAAATCACACCAAACCAAACAGAAAAAAACAAACAAATAAAAAAACAAACTGCTATCAATTACATATACTAAATACATAGAAAATGGAGATTTTCATTATATATGAGTAGATTCAAGAACGTAATTAGCTATTTTACAAATCATACCAAATTAAGGCATAAGGGGAACTAATAAAGAAAAACTAGAAAAAAACCCAACAACAAAAAAGCCTCATTGGGAACATAACTTAGAAATTGTGACTATTCCTGAGAAACATTAAAGGACATTCTATCAATAATTGCCACACTCACATTTTAGT